CTCGCCTTTGAAGGGGTTGCACCTTCTGCAGACGAAGCAGTGGGTCTATTTATATCCCCCCGACCCACTGGGGGTAACACCAAGCTGAAAGATGCTCACTTGGGTTTATTATCTGAAACAGAATGACCAGAAGATCTAAGTTTGCAGGATGTTGATATCTATGACCGGGCTCACCCATTGTAAATTGCTCTAGAAGTGCTCATGCCAGTTTCATCATCGCCTGGCTCACCCGTACGGACAAACACTTTCCACTATTCCCTACCCTGGGCTAACTTCTTCATATTTGTCAAATGTCTTTCCACTTTTCTGTTCTTCATTCTTTGCGACTTTTGTAACAGGTTCAACATGGCCTTCCCTTGATCGTGTAACCTGTAGACTCAAAATTGAAATTGTATTTGTTATGTAGCTGCCTGATTTCCTTATGGTATGCTCAGTTCAGCCCATCTCCACAGCTTTCTTCTGTCTGCAAATTTTCTACTCCTTACTTCCTCATTGGTGACTCTGTCTGTCCCTCTGATCCTGAGAAACTTCCTCCAGCATTTGTTGGTGACAACCTGGACCCTCCAGTACTTTGTAAAGAGTGCTTTAGAAGAGCCCACCCAGCTGCACCACCAAACAATCCACAAGGGTTGTGCAAGCCAAGGATTTTCTCTTAACATCTGTGAACAGGCTTCTGAAGTTTCCCACTCACTATTTCCAGCAAAGCTCTGGAAAACTGTATCTTGATCCCTGATTCTGTAATCAGTGGGAGATTGAAACCGCATGCACAGGTCAGGGACAATCTGCCTTATATGTCAGGCTACTCAAATACGTAATAGATGGAAATACCATGTCGACCTGTGAGCCAAACAAGGATCAATGTGAATTGTGCGTGAGTTTTGAGTCATGACAACGTCAGCCAGACTAAGTGGGACTCTCACCACATGTCAGAAAAAAGCGACAAAGAAAGGGCACGCCATGGATAATACCTCTGCTCTTAGGCAAGAAGAATTGTTGATGATTTGCATGAATCTTCAGGGTGTACTTTTGTCACTGTCTATCGATTGCTCAGGCTCTTGTTCTAGAAACATGCACAAAATCTTCACTGCGACCTCGTATGATGCCATCTATTACTTATGACACAAGGCACAAGGTGATTTGATTGCAAGTGAATTCCCAAGTTGTTTGATGGACTTTTTTCAACGTACACATATGCATAGAAGGTTATAACAATATTATTATATTATTATACAGCTAGGGTGTGTGTGTGTGTGTGTGTGTGTGTGTGTGTGTGTGTGTGTGAGTGTGTGTATGTGTGTGTGTGTGTATGTGTGTGTGAGTGTGTGAGTGTGTGTGTATTAGTACAAAATTGCATCAATTTCAAATCCCCTGAGTGTCTTTTCCACTCAGAGCAAACACGAATTTGTTAACAAAATCTTATTAGAGGCTACACTCATATGCAAGTAGAAAGTATGCACAGCGTCATTGAGCTACGGCTTTAAATAAAAGACTTTTTCAGAACTTACAATTGTTGTAATTACATCAACGAAGACAATATAAAGTGAAATTTGTGGACCATATTATTTTCCCCCATGATGTCAAAATTGCTGTCCACATTACTGTCCGGTCGGGTAGACAAAAAGAAGACCAAGCTGTTAATGCAGTATGAAGCCTCTGATATACATAAGGAGGAATTCTTTGCAAACTGAACTCTAACGGAGAGTGGGAGAGTCTTCTAAAGTCAAGAGACAAAGAAACCTCAACAAACAGTTCCCCACCACTGTATCATTCTCCTTATAAATGACAAAGAGTAATTTTCAGGATCTGAGAGACAAAATGAGTAAGATAATGAAAGATGATCATTCAGTCATTCACGGGGTATAAAAGTTTGACATTACACCAAGTTCTCAACCCATCCACCACCACCCTGTCCAAGCCCAATAAAAAGGATATACACTTACACACAATTGGACAAAGAAGGATAGAAAAAGAGAAAGCACGCAAATGAAGGAGTATGATTTCATAAATTACATACAATTTCACATTCATGTAAGAATGAGAGATGTTTATAGTGGTAAAATAATGAATAGCTTTCTGTTTCACTTAGTCTGTAATGTCATACTCAGTTTTAATTTGATCTTTTTAAGTCTTTCTTATAACAGTATTTCGTGCTTTCATATATTTTTTAACATACCAGGGCCTCTAATAAGAGAATACACACTGCCTTTAAACGTGAATACAACACCGCGTTCCCAAAAGCCTACTGATGAAATCGTGAATTCCACACCTGTGTGGAATTCACGACCGCATCAGGCGAGATTCGAATATGAACATCGTGAATCCCACACTTTTTCGAAAAAATGACCATATATGGTAAATAACGTACTACAGTATTATTTCTAAAAGGTAATTGATCAGATCTATTCATTTAGTTTATTTCTTGAACGCCAAATGACGGAGAAAATCAGTTTTTTCCATCTCCTGTAAAATTTGCTTCATGTGGAATTCACGATTTCATCAGGCGACCGACGAAAAATAACAACAACAATAACAACAACTATAACAACAACAACAAGAAGACCAACACCACCACCACCAACAACAACAATAACAGCAACAACAGCAGAAAGAGCAACAGCAACAACAACAGCAGAGCAACAGTATCAGCAACCAAGATGACGACAACGATGACGACGACAATGATCCCACCTGACAGGCCCCGCGTGGAGCACCTCGGCCATGATGTTCTCTCTCCCACTCACACTTCCGTGGTCCCCGACCCTAACCCTTCTGAGGAGAAAAAAAAAGAGCTAAGTGGGCCTAGGGAGGGAGAGTTTTGAGAAATTTTAAGCTCACCCATAGAAATGAAAATACAATTCAAACTGTCTACGACCCTCGTCCTTAAGCAGGTGGACGTCTCTCACAGTGTCATTATGTTTAAAAAATGAACAAATGATGAAATGAGAAGTGGCCGTTGATACAACTGATTGGCCTAGATACAGGTGGCCGTTAGAGCAGGTTCTATTGTGAAATATTATTTTTGACTAAAACTGCTCGGCATAGCGCTTTGAAGATTTCTTCAGAAGCGACTGAGAGTAAAACAAAAGACAGCACTGTATCTTTGTATATTTCTTTTTTAAAATTCCTTTTAAAATGTTGGAGGTGGGTTTTTTTACGTTCTCATCAATACAGTTAGATGAGTTAGGAGGCGAGCTTTATGCCCCATCGAAAACAACTTAGACAATTTAGGAGACGGGTTTTCGATCCTGTTTAACTGGGTCAACCCAGGCTGAGAAGGATACAACTTCCCAACCGAGCGACTGAGATATTTGATAGATACATCTGCCTACTCGGGAATTCAAATCGCGGCTCCTGCGTGCGACAGCAAAGAGTCTAACCTCTACGACGCCCACACCGGTTATGCTGTACTGTAAATGTTTGCACATTTGCTCATCGTTGCCAGCTGTTAAACTGTCATAAGGCCAAATTTAAGATTTTTAAAAAAGTAAGAACTGCAATTTCTGAGTTTGTGATATTTTTAACTTGAGTTAAAAACACGTTACACCGAAATTGAATTTCAAATAATTCTAAATATTGACAAAAGCAAGCTAAAATAAATATGTGATGTGACCTGTAGAGTTAAATTTTTAAACGACTTTTTCTCTCTTCTTTCAAAATGCGGTAAAAAAAATTTCCGACGCAAAATGTTAAAATATTTCCTCAACTGTCAAACATAGACTCCTCATTTTTTTTCCAAATTTCTTGCATCAATTCGTCTTGCATCACTTCGTCAACAATTTTGTAAACAACTGTTAGCTGTATTCTAGAAACTTCCTTTATAAACCTTAATCAAAATTAAAAAAATGGGGACGGAGTCTACAGATTTTTAAAGGTTTTATAGCTTGGGCAATATTGCTTTAAAAGCAGGTCCGTCATTTTCTTTTCTAATTGAGGTTTGAGAATCTTTAGTGCGAAAAAGTGTTCACTATACATAGAACTAAATTCTTGTAACAAGTTTTGCCACTAATAAGTGTCTTTGGTGAGCTGTGACGTAGGCCATATTATGTGTATGCAAAATGTGTGTGAGAAGTAGGAAGTGCTGTGAACAAGCCAATTTTCCGCGTACGGAGATTTATAGTATTTAATATAAATTTATAAAGAATTTTTAAAAATCTAGCTTCAACAAAATATTCTTAAGTTGAGACAAATTGATACAAACTACTGTGCAAAGTATGAGATACATTGATTCGTCCGTTAAAGAGGTATTTGAGTAAAAGTTGCACTACGAATATTTGACATTTCAAGAGCTTGCCGACGACACTTACCATGGTACCATAGTAAATTTTACATAAACGATTTACAAACATTTAAAAAAAATTTCCTTACCTGTACTGGCTGAGCGAAAAGCAGTTTGAAGTTCTGGTGCACGTACCGCACTGGTTGAAAGATGAACATTCTGAAGGAATAAAAAGAAACATATGAAATCCAATCGAACAATTAAGAAAAAATTGCTAGAACAAACGTTGAGTTTAGCTATTTGCGTTCCAAGTGTCTGAGGAGGAGGAGGAGGAGGAGGAGAAGGAGGGGGAGGAGGAGGAGGAGGAGGAAGACGAGGAGGAGGGGGAGGAGGAGGAGGAGGAGGAGCTAACGACAACGCTGTTGGTGCTGCTGCTGCTGAGGATGATGATGATGATGATGATGATGATGATGGTGTTGCAACCACGATTTCATTAATGATGACAACGTCGACGATAATGATAATGGAATCAACAAAACAAGCATACCCTGAACTATAGCCTGGTAGTTGTTACAAGTCTCGTCAGGAATCCCGCGAGTATGGGCGTATCGAAACACTTCAGCGTCACTTCCGCCCTGACAGTTGCCCGCTTTCGCACAGTCCAGAACGTGCTGTGGCCGGATAGTTTAGGTTAAGTAAGAGTTTTACGGCACTTGCAACACAAATAGGTCATATAAGTAGTGTTACTAGAGAGCAAAATACAAAATTTTAGTTTACATTACTGTATCAAGGCGCCATCAACACAAATAGGTCATATAAAGGTTTCTAGAGAGTAACATATTTAACAGTTTTAGTTAACGTTAGAGTTTTACGGTGCTTGTACACAATTAGGTCATAGAGTGCAGAAGGTAACAAAGGAGTAACACACAACGTTTTAGTTTTAGTAAGAGTTTTACGGCGCTTGCAGCACGAAAGGGTCATATAGGTGTTACTAGTTACTAGAAGGTAGCAGACATAGTTTTAGTTTTAGGAAGAGTTGTACAACATTAGCAAAACAAATAGGTCATATAAGTGTTACTAGAGAGAAACATGCAACATTTTAGTTTACATTACTGCATCATGGTGCTGCCGGCACAAATGGGTCATATAAGTGTTTCTAGAGAGTAACACAAACAGTTTTAGTTAACGTTAGAGTTCCACTGCACTTGTAGCACAAATACGTCATATAAGAGCAAAAGATTACAAGAGAGTAACATACAAAGTTTCAGTTTTAGTAAGAGTTTCATGGCATTTGAAACACAAATTTATCATATAAGTGCAGAAAATAGAAATACTACTATTGAGTAACAAAATATTATAAAGTTTAGTTTTAATAAGAGTTTAACGGCACTTGCAACACATTAATAATAATAATGGATTGCATTTATATAGCGCATATTCACTTATGCAATGCTCTATGCGCTTAACATGATACATATTATGGATTTACAAATCAATTTTAAAGGTACGTAGTGTTACATACTCATGCAAACACATATTCACTCACGCACGCACCACACACACATACATACTCACATACACACATACGTACATATGCACATACGCACATACAAACTCACAACGATCTACAGCTTGGATGCATTCTGTCTAATCGAAATAGGATGAAAATAGAAATGATTTTAGTTTCTTCTTAAAAATTTCTAGATTTTCTGCTTTTCTGATAGTTTTTGGAAGCCTATTCCAAACAAGTGGGGCAAAATATGAAAAAGAGCGTTGGCCATATGATTTATAATTTATTTTAGGCTTAACAAGGGTTGCTTTGTCACTTGATGATCTGAGCGTTCTAGGAGGCACATAGGGTGTTAAAAGCTGTTTTAGATAGTCCGGTGATAAATCATTTAAGCACTTGTAGCAAGTTAAACAGATTTTATATATGATACGCTCTTTCACTGGGAGCCAGTGTAATGCTTTTAAAATAGGAGTCACATGATCATACTTTAGTTTTTTTCGTAACATTAGGTGCAAACTGATATGAAATGCTGAAGATAGAGGTTCAACAACAGAGAGTATTATACGAAGAAGAAAAGGACGATGAGGCCTATACCCAATATTAGGGTGAAAGAGGAGAATAATGACAATCATTTCTTTGTTTGTACGTGTACCGTAAGTCAAAAGAAGCACATCTACAAGACAGCTATAATTTAGCGGCATTCTTGCCCCCTTAACTCCCTAAAATTCTTTAAATTTGAGAACATGCTTATGTGTCTGGAGAGAAAGGCGGACATTCAAGACTCACCTTTACATAGCGACAGGTGAAGAAAAAGGACTTACCTGAACGACAAGGATTTATGTGGCGAATCCTTACCAGCAAAATAGAGAGATTTGTGGAGAATCAAGATTTACCTGTACAGAGAAACAGGTGGGGAAACAGGACTTACCTGTACAACAGAGAGATAGGAGGAGAATCAGGTTTAATCTGCACAGAGAGATAGGTGGAAATTGAGAACTCACCTTTATAAAGAGACAGTTGAAGAATCAGGGTTTACCTTCGCAACAAAGATATAGGTGGAGAATCAGGACTTACATGTACACAAGAATGTACATTATGGAGAACCAGAACTACAGGCACAACACACAGATAGGTGGAGAATCAGGATTTGCCTGTTCAGAAAGATTGGTTTCAGAATCAGGTCTCACTTGTTCAATTAAGAGATATGTTGAAAAATCAGGATTTTCTACGCAATAGAAAAATATATAGAGAAGCAGGTCTTACCTGTGTAGAGAGATAGGTGGAGAATCAGGACTTTCATGTACAATAGAGAGATAGGTAGACATTTACGACTTACCTGTACAGAGAGGTATGTGGAAGGCCAGACCCCACCTCTCTTGATGTTGGCGCGGTCAGCTATGACGCTTGTGGCAGCCATCGCAAAACACGAACCACAGTCTGGAGGGATCATCATCATCATCATCATCATCATCATCATCATCATCATCATCATCATCATCATCATCATCATCATCATCATCAGTTGCAGCAGCATATATTTAATTATCATTATCAAAATTACTCGGAGCAACGTGCAAATAGACGAACAGACAGATAGACAGTATGATAATCGAACAGAGCTGGGAGGGGGAGAGAGAGAGAGAGAGAGAGAGAGAGAGAGAGA